AATCCACTTACCTCAGCCTCCCAAAGGTGCGGGATTACAGGCTGAGCCACCGAGCCCGGCTTGCCTATCATTTCTTTCTGTGCCCCAGCCACTGTCCAGCTCAATCCCATTAAGATAGATCACATTTGTTCGGTCGAGAAGTGCAATGGGAAGTAATTCTGGAGGTTCTGGGGTCAGGAGTCTCCCACATTCTTTGTATCCTCCCAAATATCTCTGTTCCCACAATCAGCTTGCAGTATTTGCTAAGGAAGTGTGTGGCAGCAGAGAATTCAGCCTACATTGTCACAACTGGAGTGACCTGTTTGCATCCTGTCAGTGATCTCAGAGTGCGGGCTGTGATCAGAACGTTTTCTGTCCAGTCACATGGTGCCCTGAATGTCCTTATCTGGTGGCTTCCCTCCTTTATCTGACTTTGCACATTGCTCTATTCTGCATTCAGATCTTACTGCCAGGGTTGACTGTTTACTATCTGCAATCACTCCATGCTGTGAGAAGCAGAAGTTCTTGCATTCCTTTTGCAGGCTAGGGTCTACGCACTTTGCAGGGTTTGTGATGAACTTGCACGCAAAAACTTAGCATGTATGCGTGTATGTGAATTTAATGGAAGGGGGAGCTTTTATTAGAATCTCAATGAGGCATGTGACCTCCAAAAGTCGTAAACCACTGCCTGACTTCCATCTTATTGCTCCATATCCTATAATAAGTCTCCCATATGTTCCTCAAAGCCTCACCTTCTCCAAGCTCATGCTCTGGGTCCCCAAAGAACAGGGACCTTATAATTGTCCTAGAGCTTTCTATCTAGTGAAAGGATGTCCCTTCTACCTCTGTCTCCTTCAGGATACCACACTACGTCACATCGCCTCTGATGGTTGGTGAATAAGTGGTATGTTACAGGAGGGGCAGTCTACTGACTGCGGCTGGAATTCCTGGTACTCAAACCATAGTGTCAACCATCTGACAGAAGTTGAGGTTGAAAGTGATGCTTTCAGCCGGGCTCGGTGGCTCAGCCTATATTCCTGCGCCTTTGGGAGGCTGAGGTGAGTGGATTGTTTGAAGCCGCGGGTTCGTGACCCGCCTGGGCAACTTGGCGAGACCTCATCTCTACAATAAATCAAAATGAGCCGGGAGTGGCAGTGCGCGCCTGTAGTTCCAGCTACTGGAAGGCTGAGACGGAAGGGTTGCCGGAGCCCAGCAGGTCGAGGCTGTGGTGACCAGGAGCGGCCACTGCACTCCAGTCTGGGTCTGGGTGACAGAGTGAGACTCCAACTCAAAAAAAAAAAAAAAAAAAAAGAAAGTGATGCTTTCTATAAATACGAGGGGGACTCAAAAAAAACATGGAACTTACTTATAAAAAATTGTGTATTTATTCTTACGTGTTTAAACTTTAGTCACCTTCAAAGTACTCTCTATTTGATGGAATACACCTATTGAGGTGCTTTTCCATGGCTCAAAACAGTTTTTGAACTCGTCAGATTTGATGCCTTTTAGCGCTTCTGCCATTTTTTGTTTCACCTCTTCCACATGGGCAAAATGTTTCCCCTTGAAGACTTTCACCGGGGAAACAATAATAACAAAAAGTTGCTTGCGGTGAGACTGGACAAATAAGGAGGTCGGGGCATGGGGGTCATGCCAGTTTTGGCCAAAAACTGCTGAATACTCAGCGCAGCGTGGGCGGATGTGCATGTCAATCACTCATTATGAAATGGGCAAATGCATTGAATTCTCCCCCAAATGCACCGAAGCTGAACTCAGCCTCTCACAACAATGCTAGCTGGTACACCGATGCCAATGGGTTCCTAGAACGCTTACAGTGAGAGAAGCCTGTACTACAAGGAGCCCACCCTCCAAAAGATAATTTTGGGTTTCTTGGGGGTCCCCCTGGTATTCACGACATTGTAGGTTCATGCTTTAAGTGCTTGCCCACACAGGTGTTTGAGTTCACAACGAAAAGGTTTTTTTTTGTTTTTTTTGTTTTTTTGAGTTGGAGTCTCACTCTGTCGCCCAGACTGGAGTGCGGTGGCCGGGAGCGGCCACTGCAGCCTCGACCTGCTGGGCTCCGGCGATCCTTCCGCCTCAGCCTTCCGAGTAGCTGGAACTACAGGCGCGCGCTACCACACCCGGCTAGTTTTTTGATTTA